CCCCGAACTTATTTTATATGTAATATTCTACCCCTTTTTGGCCTACGTGGCACTATCAGGTGGGCCCAGCGCATGTTGACAATTTTTTCAAGGATAGTGCCACGTAGGCCGAAAAGGGGTAGAATATTATAGATAAATTAAGTTCGGGGGGGTAATAGGACCTTAGTAAAGGTTAGGTGTGTCTCTGGGATTTCAGGCATAGGGTGAGGGGGTACTCATGCATTTTCCCATAAAAAAATGGTAGATGTTAACGACAAATCAATATCTTTGAACAAAGAGTGGAACTCATTTGCTAAAATGATGCATAATTCTCGTAAACTGTAGAGAATATAATATACCCTTGACTTATCCCACATAAAAATTACATAGTTGCAACATCACTAATCCTTGTGATGAAAAGAAGAATGTTATATTTCCTTGAATAAATTTGAATAAACCAAATTAGATTTGGTGAGCTTTCATCATGTAAGTTTTAATAAAACTCCTTGGATACATTACAAAGAGTTAATCAGAATGTATAAGTTCAAAGGAAATCAGTGTTGATTAGTACCCGAAAGAAATTGTCTCATATGCACAAATGAATTAGAGTTTGTTGTTCAAACCATCAAATATAAGAATTAAGTAGCAGCTCATATCATTTTTGCATTAAAGAGATGTCAATTTATCTAGTATTTGTGTTGATGGGATATAGCAGGTTAGGAAATCAGTTGAGCTCGAACATCACGGATATGAAAACGTAAGAAGTTACAAACTATATCACGTGTTTATAGGGTTAGAGTGCACCCTATTAGAAATATGAAAACTAATAGCTTTCTGAAATCAGTTTGAAATTAACGTCAATTTATTTAGTATTTGTGTTGATGGGATGTAGTAGGTCATGTTAATGGCAACTTCATCTCCATTCTGTATATTCACACTTGAACCAATAAAGCAGCAAGAAGCAGAAAAGATAAGAAACACAAAACAATAGCTAATAAAACAACTAAAAACACAAAATTCAAAAGTAAAGGAAATGGGGTTTTGACCATAGAATCAAATCTACCAAGTGACATACTTAAATAAAGCTCACCAAAAGAACCACTTTTAATCTTCCTTCCAAGCTTAAACTTCCCACCCACAACATGATCCATTGTGATTTCAACAACCCCACTTCAGAAATTTCACCAACAATAACAATTTTAACAGCCAAAATAATTAATTCTCTCAAATTTTCACTCAGTAAGATTGACCAAGAAAATCCAAGAAACAATTACCTTCATCAAAACTACTCATACATCTATCCAATTCTTTGAATATTCATCTGTCATTTTGGATTCTATCAGATTCAAACTTCATTAACCCATCAACCTACCTCTAAAATCAAACCGTTATAAATCTATTCAGCCAAATGTAAATATCAGAGAAAAAAATTGAAGCTCAAAATAAAATTAAGGAAAAAATATATATGAATATGAGAACTTAAGGAATCGAATCTTAAAAAATTAATTGACATTTAACAAACATTGTTTTATTAAAAATAACAAACATTGTTTTACTTGTATAATACTTCAATCTAGATGACACGTAGAATAAGAAAATCTTACTAAAAGACTAAAATACCCTTCAGCTGAAATTTATTGACATTTAACAAACATGTTGATACCAAAAGGCATCCCACACTTCTAATATAGTAGAAAAGAAAAAATAGTGTGACACTTAACAATTTTTTTTTTAAATGTCTTTCCATTCATCTGCAATTTGTCAAAGAGAGAGCACAATTTGATTACCTATATTTAATCTACTTGTGACCTTTGTTTCTTAGAAGAGGAGCCACTGGCCTCTGCTCCTCCTTATCCCAATGCAAAGCTCAGCTACATCTTTATACAACAAAAATTTTGATTGTCACATAAATTTTATTGTATTGTATCGTTTAAATTCATTGTTAGATATCAACGAATAAACTCATTTTGTCAGAAAATGGAAAATGTGATTTATATTTTGAAATGAAATTTAAAAAGAATGAATTTTTGCATACCCAAATTGTTATGACAAAGAAATCGGAAATCAGAATAAAAGTTGTTAGAACCATTAAGAGGAGAATCAAACTCACAGCTGATTGCCAATAGGGGAAAGAATGAGAAGAAATAATTTATATATAAAGAGACAACAAATTCATGAGGTATATACCTAGCTATAATCCGGGGCTTGTGGGAAAGAGCTGCAAGAGTTTCTTAGAAGAGGAGCAAGTGGCCTCTTCTTCATATCTACTCTTCCTTTTCCCAATGCAAAGCTCAGATTCATTTTTATACAACAAACGAACTCCAAATTTCATATTTTCTCCAAATTCATCATCTGTTTCTTCAAAATCATCATCTGTTTCTCCAAAAGCATCATCTGTTTCTCCAATAAAATCTAACTTAATGCACCCATAGTCATTTGGTGTTTTTTCATTTGCATTAGATGCATCCCATAAGCCACCAAGAGGTACCAACAAAAAATTAATAACAGATTCATCAATATCGTCTAATTCTGAATTGTCGGATAAGGAAAATTGCTGGGTCTTCGACGACATCCCATCATCACATAAGGGAATCAAATGAGCTGTGATGCAATCAATATGTTTGCCAGAATAACATACAGCAAATCCCAAGAAGTTATCACTTATGTACCAATTTTCAGGCAATTTGACTGATATACTTCTACCAACTTCGTGATGGTGGAACCATCTTGGGATATCATCCGACCAACTCCCAAACACTCTTAGTGACAAGGAATGTGAAGAACAGATGTCATGCTGCAATGATGAGATGTTCTGAAACAACGAATTACAGATCGAAGCATTGCTCCAATCTGCATGTATTGTGTGTAATTGCTGTGGAAATTCTGGCAGCTGTGTAAGCCTCTGGCAATCTGATAAGTTCAAGTATTCAAGACCAAGATGGGCAATGCTATGAGGCAAATGCTCAAAATTATTTCTCTGGAGATACAACTTTTCCAAAGAGGATAAGGATCCAATGTCTTCTGGCAGCTGTGTAAGCCTCTGGCAATCTGATAAGTTCAAGTATTCAAGACCAAGATGGGCAATGCTATGAGGCAAATGCTCAAAATTATTTCCACTGAGATTCAAGTCTTCCAAAGAGGATAAACATCCAATGTCTTCCGGAAGTCCTCCATCTATTATATTGGAGTAGCTGAGATCCAGATATTCCAATGAGAGTAACCCTTCATTCACCAGAGGGAACACAAATAACAATCCATCTTCTGATTTTTCTTTTGCAAAAGTTAATGATTTAAGTTTGTTCAACCGGACGATGGAAGAAGGAGGACGTGAGATTAGAGTATTGTTGGCATGAAGCTCCTCCAAGTTTTCTAAATCACCTATCTCTTCTGGCAAGCTTTCAAGTTTGGAGCACTTTGACACATCTAGCTTCACCAAACCTTTTGACTTACAAATGCTGCTTGGAAGAGATACAAGGTTTTTCATGCCATCCAAACGTAGCTCTATAAGATGAAGTTGGTGATCAAAGAAAGATAATGGCAGGTCCCTTATCCCAGTGTATGACGTTATAATCTGTATGGCAGTTCCCTGCTTCATTATTCCAAGGATTTCTGGAAATTTCTCTAAACTAGGGCAGTAATATAGATTCAGAGATCCAAGAGATTCCACATTAACATATGGAAACCTCTCAAGTTTTGAACAAAAAGACAAATTTAACTGCTTGAGTTCTTTGCAATCCTTGAGGGAAGGATGAACTTCTTCAAGACTCCTACATTTGTTTAGATCCAAATACTTCAAATTTGGCATCCCCTTGAAATCTGGTGTTCTCTTCAGGCTTTTGGAGTGACTTAGATCTATCCTTCGTAGAGACAGAAATTGCTGCAGTTATTCAAAACACAGAAAGAATTATGAAAAGTAGTAAACGACATGTTTATATTATAATTCAACGTGTGAAATGAGAAATTGTTTATTTTACTTTATATGGAAATTACATGCTCAGAAACTAGATAAAAATCATGTTATAATAAATAAATAAATAAATAAAAGGTAAAATATCTAAAAGAAGACCTTAATCTTAGCATGTTTTATTTAAATTTCCGCTATACTTGATTATCTGGATGTTGATGTAGAAAAGTTGTGCCAACATATTTCTTTTTGTTTCTTCTTTAGATGCAGAGGTTGGAAATGCAATTCATAGAGATTAATAATATGAGAACGTACAACCCAAAATACATTAGTTTGAGTTTATGGAATTAATAACTTATTTTCATTTTAACACAAGAATCATAATTCTAGGACAAGACAAAATAGAAAGTATCTCCAATGGAATGGTACCTTTGTTTCATTCCATAAATAATGCAATGAACTCCATCGGAGATCAAGATGAACAAGCCTTCTGGGATTAAAATTTCTTGGCAATAACTTCCAAGGATATTCATGCCAGACAAACCAACACAAGTTGTTGGAAAGGTATTCAATAACTCCCAAGTACTCATCTTCTGAATCACTTTGGGAAGATTGGTCCTTGTAGGTATTCAATAACCCCCAAGGATAACTCTGTATGCATAATATCCTAAGCCTTTGCATATTTTTCATTGCGTCTTTGCTAAACCATAGTTCTCCAGAATAAGTAAGCCAGATTGCTTCCACTGCCATGGTCCCCTATAAAAAGATCATGAATCAACATGTCATGTACAATCCAATTATCAATATCATTGTTTTCTTACAATTTTTTGTCATGTTTTATATTATTATTATTGTACTTGAAGAGCCAGCACCATCAAATAAAATTTTAGGTACAAATATTAGTTAAGAGAAATGCTTTGCGTAGTTAATTTTATTTTTTAATGATACATTTTTGGAGAAGTTTATTAGACTCAAGTTAAAAAGTTTTCCATGCTCTTATAAAACAAAAATTGTAACTGAAATAGTGTCAATAACTGTCATCTTTTAAATGAAAAAGAATTAATAATGATCAAGTGAATTAGTAAGGTAATTAAGTTTTGGCCCTCCTAAATTTATTTTTCATTTCTGAATTTTTACTAATAAAAATTACTTGGGGTAAATAAATGGGTGATATTAGCTTTTAAAAAATCATTGATTAAATTAGTATGAACAAATTAAATACTATATAAATTTCAAGTTAATCCAAAGAATGATATAAGATTAAATATATTAAGTGGCTATTAGAGTAATTCATAACTTATTAACTAGGTAGTGTGGATTTGAAACAACTTAAATGACTTGTGCCTCAGTATATGAAGCTAGAGGAACAGAGTATATATATATATGTTTGAAATATGAATACTTACCATATTGTCCATCATCACATCTTTTTTTTTTTTTGTATTACTTATTTTTGCACTTCAAGTTCTTGAAGAGCTAGTACCATTAAGTTTTTCATGCTCTAATAGAACAATATTGTATCAATAATTTTCATCTTTTAAATAAAAAATAATAAATGATCAAGTGAATTACCAACCCAGGATTGGTAAGGTAAGTTTTGGCCCTCCCCTTGTATTTTTTCATTAGAGAATTTATGTTAATAAAAAGTTACGCATGGTAAATATCTGGGGGATATTAGCTCAAAAATTTATTGAGTTAGTAGGTACAAAATGTCATACAAATTACAAGTTAATTCAAATAAAAAAATTGGACAAATAGATCAAGTGGAATAATAGCATAACATAAACGAATTAGGCAACGTTAACTAAAAATCAATACTTGACGAATTAGCTACCTTAGGCAACTACTGTTATTTTTGCTTCTATTATTAATAAAGTAAAGGAAAAGAATCTGATATATCTCTCAACTTTGTCATTTAGAGTTGATATACCCTTCGTTATGAAAGTGCTAATATATACTCCTATTGTTATATAAATGGCTCACATATACCCTTTTCCTCTAACGAAAGTGAAAAAATAATTTTAATTTAATTTTTTACTTATTTTGTTTTAAAAAAAATATAATTCCATAAGGGTATACATAATCATCCTCAAACATATATTTTTTTTGACCTTTTTTGTTTCAATGACTAATTTAGATTTATTATTTTGATGGTCAAATTTATTTATGTTTCACTAATATTTTTGTAAAATTTATTATAGATGACACAGTTTTGTTTTCTAAATACAAAAACTAAATTACAATATAGCTGAAAAATAATTTTTTAAATTATAATATAGCCACAAAAAATAGTTTTAATTTTTTTCTTTACATTAAGGAATGAAAGAAAAAAATAAAATAAGAACAAGAAACTCAAATAATGATAATCAAAGAAGTCAAAAAATAATTCATTTATGAAAAAGATTAAAATATACATTGAATCTTGCTAGAATGATCATATATACCCCTAAATAATTTTGTTTTTAAAAATAAAATTTAAATATATAAATTTAAAACTAATTTTTCACTCTCGTTAAATGAAGGATATATATGAGCTCATTTTGTAACGTAGGGGTATATGTGAGCCGTTTGTATAACAATAAGGGTATATGTGAGTCACTTTCAAAACGAAAGGCTTATCAAATCCAAATGACAAAGTTAAGAGATATATCAGGTCTTGTTCCCTTAAAGTAATAACTCACCAAAATGACATACGTGCTAGAATATAAATAAAGATGAGTAAATAAATGAAATTGACTATATATTCTATATGTCTTTGGAATATGAAAAGTAAAATTGAATATTATTGCATTGTTTAGCCTACTTACCATATTGTTGTCCACCACTTCTTTGAAATCTTTAACATTCCATAATCTGCTATGTTCTCCCAGATGCTTTCCCTTTTTCACTATACATTTACCCATATCTTGTATTAAGTCATGCATTTCAATCTTACCATATTCAGAGATGGACACGAGAGATTTGTTAACTAGAACACGCAATCCAAATTCTGGTCTAGAATAACAGCTCTCAAGAACTTGCTTGACTTTTTCTTTTTCAATTCCTCGAAAGAAACATGCTATATCTAGAAATATCTCTTGTTGTTCGGACTCCAACCCATCATAACTTATTCTGAGATTTTCAGTAATTTCTACACCAGAGTTTTTCTTTATTTGGACCAAGGCACTTTCCCACTCAGTTTTATTCATCCGGTGTAATGAAGAACCCCATACTTTCAGGGCTAAAGGATGGCCTTTAGCAAGACTTACTATCTCCAACGTTAGATCTTTAAAACACTCATTTGGAACTTTTTCTTTGAAAGCATATTGATTGAACAATTTAATAGCATCACGGTCAAGTAGTGTTTCCATTTCATATACTACGTCATTTTCCCCTATCAAATGTTGATCTCTAGTGGTTGCAATAATCCTGCTACCCTTGCCAAACCAACTGAGATCCTTTGCTAGGTATTCCAACTGGTCTATGTGATCTATGTCATCAAGCACAATTAAAACCTTCTTTAGCAGAAGTCTCTTATACAACATGCTCCTCCCCGCCTCCTTATTATCCACGCAATTTTCTTTCTCCCCTAGTAGTTTAGAGAGAAGGATATTTTGGAGAGAGTGTATTTTGTGTTTGTTTTCTTTGATATTCTCAAGGAAACAAACAACTTCAAATTTGGACGAGAGCTCATAAAAAATTTTCTTTGCTATTGTCGTTTTACCGATGCCTCCCATACCCCAGATCCACACAATCCGATCAATATCATTGATTTCCATCTTTAGTAGGGATTCTACTTTCTTTAATTGAGTATCTAAACCCATAACGTCTTGCAAATAAGATACTGAAGTATTGCACTTAGACGAAATTTGATCAACAATACCCTTAATACAGTCTGCATCTGACTCACCCCTGCAAAAAAAGAAGAATAAAAATAATGCTAATATAATTATTTAAGATTCTGTTTTGAGTACAAATTATTTGTTCTATAGTAGAATATAACTATGTGTACAAAAAAGAAGAATTAAATTTGTGTTTTTAACTGACCTGCTAGGGAATACATATCCTTTTAGATCTGCGGCAGCAGTTAGGGCAGTTCTCCATCGTTGCACCTTCTGCATTCCCGCATCATCATCCTTATACCTCGATTCATGTTTGGCAAATGCTTCTTTAAAGCTCTGACTTTGGTATCGAACATGTGATGCATCCACATTACAGAAGACCGGTATAACTGTCATGTGTCCATTTTCTTTCTTCTTGCATTCCATAATCTTCACTAGTTCATTCAAGCACCAACTTGACGTAGCATAATTCTTTGAGAAAATGATTACGGCAACTTGAGTCTCTTCTATCGCTTTCATGAGTTCTTCTGAGATGGAATCGCCATCCTCTAGCCTTTTATCATCTAGAAAGGTGACTATTCCCCTGTTTTTCAAACCTTGGTACAAGTGACTCATAAAATTTCTCCGGGTATCTTCGCCTCTGAAACTTAGAAAGACCTCGTACTTGCATCGAGGACTACTCACAGAAGAAGAAGATGCCATAGATTCAATTAATTGTCTGAAAAGAAAAACTAAAGTGTATGGATCGGATGAGATCAATTGATGAACAAATTAGTTATGTAGAGGAAAGAAGAAATAAACATTCTAGTCAACTAATAATATTAATAGGAAATTTCTTTTTGTCTACTTAGTCAATGCATTAATTATTCTGAGAAGTTTCAGCTCCAGAAATCCAATGGGATTTTAGCCATACATATTATTTTTCTACTAATTTGAATTTCTATTGCTTCTCGATAGATCATTGATGGTTATGGATGGACCCACTATTCATCTGCACAAAGAAAAATTGGACCATATTACTATTAGGACCAAATAATACAAATCCCACTAGCTTAGAGTCTAATTACATATTTTTATTTTAGTTTTTGAAATTATCTTTCGTACCATATTTTTACTTCGCCAAGTACAATCATCTAGGCACTCAGATACATGTATCTTAAGTATATGCGCGTCAAATTTGGTGTAATTTGTTCCAAATATACTATATATTCAAGTGTGACACGTATGTATTTTAGATACACTGACTCTCTTTCTCACCCTCTCTCTACGTGGAGCCACGCCTTAATTCTCTGCATTTATATTTAATTGTGAATTGAGTTGACGAATTCCAACAGAAATTGAGAAAAGGTCACCAAACTCCAGCTTCAGTAATAAATGGAGTTAAATACATTTGGGGTGTGTTTAATTAGTAGAGTAAATATGAATATTCCAGTAAATATTGTACGTACTTCAATTTAACATTTCGACAAAAGTGTATACTCTTTAATATTTCTTCTTTTCCTTTTTATTTGTCACCATTTTTTTAAAAAGTCAAACAATATGAATTTTAATTAACATTTAAAATGTATTTTTGTCATCATATTATGAAAAAAGTTAAAATTTAGATTATATTTTGTATAGTTTTTAAATATCTAAATTTTATTTTAAAACATCTAATTAATACTAATATTTTGTTCCAAATGTGAGTTTTAATGAATATCAATAAAGTCGGTATGATATTTCAGATCCAAATACCAATAATCATTAGGTGATTTAGTTCTTTTTGTAAAAATCTTGATTAAAAAGATTTACTCAAGTAGAAATATTAATAAAATAATCGAGATGATACCTCTACTATCATAAAATTTGAAAAAGAAAAAAAAATATATAAAAAAACTTTACCGTACAAAGACTTCGGAAAATCGAGATTATAACATCATGTAATTCCTTATTTCTATATACTATAAAATTACTATTAGTATATTTCAAATAATAGTGAAGTAGCTTTTGCATTTTTCAAAGATCACTTTAGTTTTCGAGCCTAAGGCTAGTGTATTATGTCATATTTACTCCTTCAGATATCAAGTCAGGTATATGTTAATAAGAAACATATATCTAAAATAAAAAACAAACAATACGTACACTCATATTGCTACTACGTCTTTTTTTTCGTTATTCTAAACTCAATGCTCTGAATTACTTAATAATCCGCTTTCTGGATTAACTCTGATTCATAAGTTGCTTCTATTATGAATATGAATGGAAATTATGCTTCATCAGTTGAATATTTGAGCTCTACACTTGCAAAATTTAGAAGATGGGATCTTCCAATTTGAATTGAATTATTGCTATGGGGTCCACAATAATATGAACACAATGGACAGCTCAAAATATAAGTGGATGAAGCTGCAAAGAAAGACTGTACCTTTGAAAAATATCTCCGGTAAATTCAATTATTGCGAGTTAATTCTACTACTCGGTATCCTTCACCTGCATAGGGGCATGACTTAAATCAGATTCGAATCAAAATTAAAATTGTAATTAACTAATAATTCTTTTCATTTATGGTTATGGACTCACTCTAAGAAAATTGTTACTAATAATTGTTTTGATTCCTTAATTACTTTTTCTTTCCGAATTTATATGTCATCCCTTTTAGTCATTATTCTTCTATATTTAATTACAATCTAACTTTAAAATACTCATTTTATCTTTAATGAAATGATTTATAGCTACACAAACATCTATCATCAGCTTATTACTCTGTTACAATTCATATTGCTAGAGTTAAGCATGATGAATACCTCTCATATGATGCAATTAGTCGGAAGATGTCATAGAATACTTCAGCACACTCTCAATGATTAACCATTTTCAGTGATTCCTATTCACAAACTGTGTAAATTTGACAGTAGACATGCATCAATAGAGACTACATTTGAATTCTTCCATTGTTTATGTTATTGAAATCTTGTCATGGTTGGTGCACAAAGAAAAACTGGACCATATTACTATTACGAACAAAAAATACAAATCTCACTAGTTTAGAGTCTAATTACGTATTTTATTTTAGATTTTAAAATCATCTTTCGTACCATATTTACTTCGCCAGATACAAGTCACTCAGATACATGTATCTCAAATATATGCGGGTCAAATTTGATATAATTTGTTCCAAATACATTGTATATTCAAGTGTGACTCTTATGTATCTAAGATATACTGACTCTCTTTCTTTCCCTCTCTCTATGTATTTGTATTTCATAATATATCTAGTATTAAAAAAATATGTGTATCTAATATCAAAAGATATATGTTGACTTTCTTTCTCGCCTTTCTCCTCTCTCGCTCGTCTTTCTCCCTTTTTCGCTGGCCTCTCTCAATCTGTTACTAGTATTATGGTAGAAATGTTTGTGTAATTAAATAGTTTTCTCCTACTATTTTTGATGGATTTTTACCTTTCATCACAATGAACAGATGAAGTCAAGTCGCTTTGTCGATGACAGAGAAATTGCCCTTCTTTTTTCTTTGCACTAGTATGTGCTTGTACTTCAATTTTTAGTGGTCCATTGTGTGGATATACATTAGAGTTTCCTAAAAATTTTCTACATTTATTGCTTTTGACTGGTTGTTTATATTCAATGCAATGAAGTCTAGTCTTCATGTTTTGTCGGTCACAAAGAAATTTCTAGGATATTACCTTATTGTTTCAAATTAACAAGCCTCATAATTTATTGAGAAAAATTTCATATGCCATTCTATTTAGCTTATTTTATTAATTCAATTTATTTTCAACTGAGAAATAATTTCTAATGGATATCAATAAAGTCGATATGATATTTCAGGTTCAAATTTTATCAGAGGCAATAACCAATAGGTGATTTAGTTCATTTTGCCAATTTTTTTTATGAAAAGAGTTACTCAAGTAACAATACCAAAAAAATTACTATTAGCATATTCCAAATAACATTTAAGTAGCTTATGCATTTTTGCTAAGATCACTTAGTTTCTGAACCTAACGCCAATGTATTATGTCATACATCAATCCTTCATATATCAAGTCAGATATTTATTAACAAGAAACGTATATCTAAAATAAGTTACATGCAATACACTCCTATCACTACTACGTCCTTCTGGATCAACTCCGATTCATAAGCTTCTACCCTGAATATGAATGGAGATTATGCTTCTAGAGTATAATATTTGAGCTCTTACATCTTGCAAAAATTTGGAAGACGGGGTCTACTCCAATTGAATTATTGCTATGGGTTCCACAGTAATATGAACACAATGGACATCTCAAAATATAAGTGCATGAAGCTACAAAGAAAGGCTATATCTTGAAAAATATCTCCGTTCAATCAAATTATTGTGAGTTAGTTCTACTTAGTATTATGTATCTGCATAGATGCCTGACTTAATTCAGATTCGTGTGGAGAGGTTTTATATCGAGGGTAAAACACTTCCTAACAAGGACTAGTCAATAATCAAGGCACAAACTCAAAATATTTAATTAAGAATGAAGGAATAATTATGACTCTACCAGAATCATTGTTATTATTCAATCTCCCATTTAATAATTGTAATTAACTAATAATTCTTTTTATTTATGGTTTAGGATCACTGTAAGGAAAATTGGACCATATCCCTGCTTTTAATTGATTACTAGTATACGTTCCCGCGCGTTGCGCGGATAATATAAAAAATTATTATTATTATTAGTATTAGTATTATATATATATATATATATATATATATGAAATGAAAGAACAAATCACATGATCATTTAATAACTTGTACAATATACTTTGCGTTTGTTCGTTACTACATTATTATTAACTACTTAAAATCATAACATTATCGACTAAATTTTGATTAACTTATCACTTGCCTTAATATTCTTTTTCGTTAATCTTCTATTTATATAATACAAATAAATATATATATTTTCATTATAAAATATTATTTAATTTTAATAATATTTTAAATATTATAAGTTTATTGTTATTATTGACACTCTTTATTGTTTTTTTTTACTTGAATTCAAAGTAAAAACATTTGCAAATTATTTGTATTCTTTTGAACATTTTTTGCACTAAGATATTTTATAAGTTTTATATTTTTGTATGTTAACGTATTAATATCTTACTTAATACTAAATTATGATTTTAAATTTGTCCCAAAGTACGAATAGAGATGTTTTTAATATTATCAAAATTGCAAGTGGTATTTTCTCATGGATAATGCTAAAGAAGTTAAATTTTTTGATGAAGGCATTAGATTATTCCGATCATTGTATTACTTAACAACACTAATGACAGTAAAGATCTACGATTATGATAATGCTAAACATAAAACTAAGAAATTTTAGTCACTTGACTATCAAATTATAGGCATGCTATTCAAATTTTTAAAGTTTGTTTGTCAATTTTTCATAAAATCATATATCAATTATATTATATTTCAAAAAAACATATAATTGTATCAAAATTTTCGGAAATATATTTTTATAATTATTGTTATCATGGGGAGGGAATAATCAATTGCGATGTCATTTCTTTTCTTTGAATTCATCATTACCATTATAATACTAATATTTTTGCTTAATGAGAGTGCTAAGTAGATAACGTTGTTGAATAAAAGTATTCAACTCAATATATTTTAAAAACCTAAATTATAGCATCATTACTTGTACATGCAATTATCTACCAGATATTTTATCGTAATATAATTTACAAAACAATAGGCTAAATTGATTTGTTTTTTAAAATTTATTTAAATATAAACATAAATGTGTTATTCCTAAACTTTAGCAGAACATTATTGGGGTAGTTATATATG